CCGAATAATCCCAGATGCCTCCTGTTTATGCCACTCATCGAATATCACTGAGCGTTTTACCATCAAGGCCAGAGATTCAGAAGCTATAGGACTTTTAAAGCCAATGAACACTGGCATCCAGTCGAGGAAGCTATGCAAACATCAATAAAAATAACGTTGGACCCTGACGCCGGTTCAAAACACAAACAGTGGATCTCGTCGACCTCGGCCGCCTTGCTGGAAGCCGACAGAATCCTGTCTCCGGATACTACACTGGACACAGCAGGCAAATCCCTTAAACGCCAGCTCATCTGAGGAATAACCGCGAGAAGTGATGGATAGGAAAGTGTGGATGGATGGAGAAGGCTGCGGCTATCCGCAATGGTCGGAATCTTCTCCGTCTACTTAGGAATACGGGCCCTAGGAAAATAGGCGTGAGTGAGGTAATTAAGGAATCCGATGGCACACTGATTCACGATCAGCAGCGGCTTCTTAACCGTTTGGCTGAACATTTCAGGGCTCAGTTCAAACGGCCCCTATTAGCGTCTGAACTATCACCGTCCACCCCGACTTGACAAATACTGCCATTTAATGCTAGTCCTTCATCTGAACTGGAGGTTACCCGAGAAATAAGTTATCTCAAACAGCATAAGACTTCCGGCCCAGACGGGCTGTCCCCGTCGGTTTTTAAGCAAGGAGGTTCAGCCTTAGTCTCGCAGAGGACAAAACTCCTGCACGCAGTGTGGGAGAAGGAATAGGTTCCAGCTGAATGGTGTGAGTTGGTAATCATACCGATTTACAAGAAAGGCCTTGGGTCCTCCTGTGAAACCCACAGAAGAATTCGTCTGATCAACATCGCTTCTAAGCTTCTCGCTGGTATCATACTCCGTCTGTTGTCTGCCGCACGCAAACGGTGCACGCGTGAGAACCAGGCTGGTTTTAGGCTCGGTCGAGGTTGTATCGATCACATCTTCACTCTCCGCCAAATTCTGGAGCATCAACATTCTTTTGGTGGACCCTGCGTCTCTGTTTTTCCCAATTTGAAAGCGGCTCTCGACTCAGTCGACCGCTGTAAACTGTGTTGCTGCCTTTCCCTGAAAGGTGTGCCCGAGAAGTTAATTTCAATATTACGATCGCTTTATACTAATAGCCGAAGTCGAGCCCGAGCTTACGACATTTTTTCGCGAGTTCACCACAGAAAGTAGTGTTCGACAGGATTGCCCTCTCTCTCCATTTCTATTTAACTTTATTATAGATCTGATTATGGAAACAGCCCTATCCTGTGGGAGGATAGGGGCATCGATTTACTCCCAGGAGGCAGACTGTCTGTCGGTATGCGTTTTGCACCTTCAGAGTGTGAAATGCTAGTAGAATACTGGGTTTATCCAGCAACCAGCCTCACTCTAACTGGGGAAGTAACAGAGCAGGTGGATAAGTTTTGTTATTCAGGCAGCTACATTTAACCCAGTGGCCGCATTAATGATGATGTGTCTGCTCGCATACGGAAGGCTACGTTGGCATTTGCTAAATTGAGACATTTGTGGCGTCGTCGCGAAATCCGGTTGTTTGTTTGGGGTCGAGTGTAAGCAGCTTCAGTTTGGCTAGGTCTGGTATACGGAGCAGAAACTTCACGAATAAGAATACAGGATAAAATAGACTGTCGGTGTTTGGACACCGCTGTCTACGCAGCATTGCACGCGTCTGGTGGGGCAACCGAACGAATAATGCTGGGTTTAGGCGCAGAAATTGTTGTATTTGCGGTCGCCCGCTGGAGCAAGTGGTCGACCTCCATAAATTAAGTTGGTCGAGACATGTTACGTATGTCACCAGATAGGTTACCAAGGCGAGCGATGTTCACCGAAGCATGTTGCGGGTGCAAGAAAGTCAAGGCTGACCAAGCTAAGACCTGGCATGAGGTTATGAAAACCCTAAGCAGGAGACTGGGTCACATAGGTCCTGTTAGGCTCCCTGGCTGGGGCCTCGGGATGATCGTATCTGATGATAAGAGACTGAATGATATGACTGGGTATCGTAAACAGTGGTGTTCGTGCATCTTCTCAATTTCTTTGAAAACTTAGATCACTGAACTTTTCCATTTTATGTTCGACTGTACCTCAAGCGTTCCTGTCTTCCATTCTTCATCCCAATGGGCAGCCGAAACCGGCGCTCGAACGTGCTTGGTTAATGGTTGTCCAGACTGAAACTGAAAACCATCAAGAGAACGATGTACATTGCCGCTGTTCGTGGTGTTCTACTTTGCGGTTGCTAATCTACTTTCTGTATTTGACCGTATTTGTCTCCGGAGAATTGCTCGTGTAGCTTAAGCAATGACAAAATTCCTCGTCGTGTTTTGAGTATAATCGCTCTCTACAATAGTTGGTCGCTCTATTG